AGAATACAGCAGGGTTTAGGGCTGTTGTACATAGGGTCGCTATGAGTTGCAAACGACTTGACGGCACATAACAACACAACAACATGAGTCGCAGGCAACTTGATGACACATAACAACAACAGTGAAGACATTCTCTGGATCCTGGTGGGGCCTGGCGTTCCCACCTCATCATTGGCAGGCCTCTACTCCCATGCTCAGGACCCTCTACTGTCCCTGCCTAGAGACCTCTGCCCAGGCGTCAGGATCCAGGTTTCAGTTTGAAGAGTAAGGTGTGCCTGATTCAGGCCATAGTTTTCTCAGTCCCTTTCTATGCATTAGAGAGCTGGACAATGAATAAGGATGACAGAAGAATTGATGCCTTTGAGTTGTAGTATTGAAAACGAGTACTGAATATCTCATGGACTGCAAAAAGAACCAACAGATAGATCTTGGGGGAAAGTGCAATCAGGATGCTTCTTGGAGACAAAGATGGCAAAGCTTTGTCTTTCATACTTTGGACATGTAGGTAGGTGAGGCTTTTCCTTCCAAAAGGACTTCATGCTTGGAAAGATGAATGAATGGTCAGCTAAGGAGAGGAAGGACCCCAATGAGATAGACTGACATGATAACTTCATAAGTGGGCTCAAGTGTGTCAGATATGATAATTAGGGGTTAGGGTTCAGGTCATCTGTTCATAGAATTGCTGTGAGTCCTACTCAACTTGATGACACCTAACAACAACAAGGAAAAAAGATTTCATACTGAAATCTGATTCCAAGAAAACAATTCTACCATACCTATACCTGTTCCTATCCTCGGTGTGGGGGTGGATGCTAACTAAAATCTTTCCCCTGTTTTAAACTTTTTTTTTTTTTTTTTTCATTTTCTTCCTGCCATGTGTATAAAATTCAGTTTCTTACCTCTAAAGTCCCTTGATGATTTTTCTGTCCGTATGACACTGTCATTTCTGCCTATCATTTTTCTTTTTTCTACTACTTTATTTACAAAATTCAAATACAAATTTGAACAAATTCTTTCAATTTCCCTCACCCCTCCAACCCATCAAATTGTGCAACCCAATGATTAATCCCCTCTTCCCCCTGCACATCCACATCCCTCTGCTTCCAGCCTCTCCCACCCTTCCTGGATCCTTATACTTATTCTACAATAACAGTTTTTTGCATCATCACCTCCATTCTCATCTTCATTAAGCTCCAGCTCCACTGGACTCTTGATCCGTAAAATTACCTTTTCACAAAGGCAGTCTCAGCCCCCCTATTCCAACCTCTTATTGCCTTTATATTACTTACACAATGTTCATTTACCTTTTTTTGCCACTTGAATATGAATTCCATAGTATCAGAGACATGTGTTTGGGATTTGTTGTTGTTGAATCTCTAACATTTATGGAGCTCTGGTGGCGCACTAGTAAGCACTGATGGCTTAGTGATAAGAAGCTGTACTGCAATCTCATAGATATGTTGTTCAAATCCACCCGCTGCTCCACAGGAGAAGGATGAGCAATCTCTTCCCACGCGATTCCTGCCTCAGAAAACCCACCGGAGGGTCAGCTCTGGGTCTGTTCCGTATCAAAGTGATTAGAATCCACCAGCTTCTCTGTGGGAGAAAGATAAACTGTTCTTGCAATTTACTGTCTTAAAAACTGCTGGAGGGTCAGCATTGAGTCACTTCCAACTGGATAGCACATAACAACTAACATTTAGTGTAAATATGTGGTAAATACTTGTTGAATGACTATATTTCAGGTCTCACATTACTATTTTCTTTCCCTTTATTAAAAAATATATAGGATTTTGGAGATGGAGGTGCTTTTCCAGAGATCCATGTGGCCCAGTATCCACTGGATATGGGGCGAAAGAAAAAAATTTCCAATGCACTGGCCATTCAGGTGGACGCTGAAGGAAAAATTAAGTATGATGCAATTGCTCGACAAGGACAGTCAAAAGACAAGGTAATCTCAGTAATTTTCTTTAATTGATGAATATATTACTTGAAGTGCTCTTTGTCAATTCATTTCTGTCAAAAGTAGCATGGAACTATATTTTGATTAACTTTGGTATCTAGCAGTAACTTTTACATTAGAACACTCTAAATTTTTGATAGTTTGTATGCATCTATTTATATATATATATATATATATATATATATGAATGAAAGAAAGAGTGGCATCTACTTCTGTAATAGCTTGCCTCCAGAAACCCAGTGAACCTGGAGAAAGGATGAGAGACACCCAAGTGTTGAGGACTCTCCTTCATAGGGTCGCTATGAATCACTCATAGCGACTCATAAGTGCCACTTGACGGCACTTAACAACAACATATATATATGTTTTACATTTTGAAACTTAAATGTTTTGTGGCTACCACATTCCAAAAGTGGTAGCAGCTCTTTCAGCATTTACAATTCCGGCACTAAAAAGTCAACTTTTAATTTTATCAAAACCAACCAGCCAGCCTGTTGCCTTTCAGTCAGTTCAGACAGCACTCACCCGTGGAGTTCCAAGACTGTAAATCTTCCAAGAAGCAGACTGCCACATTGTTTTCCCAGAGGGCAGCTGATGAGTTCAGGAGACGAGCCATTTAGTTAGTAGTCAGGCATTTAGCCTTGTACCTCCAGGGCCCCTTGGTTTTTTGCTGATTTTTTTTGCTGTGTAGTAGTTATTTGAATCCTTCATTATTTTAATAGTTGAGTGTTAATAGTTAAATTACAGAAATTTCTTTAGCTCCTCATTAAATAGAAAATGGTCATTTGCCACTCAAGTTTGAGATGGACCTGCTTACAAAGTAATCATAAAATATATGTAAAATAATCTCCTTACAGAGCAGCTACAGAGCCAAGGGATTATGTTTAAGATGATCTGGGGTGTTTTTCCTTACAAGTAAAAATATAGTGAACGGAGATAAAAATCCTCTTCAGAATTGAACATGTTGGGGAAAACGCCTGAGAACCTTCAGAGTCTATCCTTTGTGCCTTTCTTTCTCCATCTCCCACCTCACCACCCTCCCCTCAACCTTTTCATTTACCTTCAAGTAACAATAGTGATGAGCTGTTCTTTCTCCTTGTATTATGGCTGCTGAGCTTTCTTGGGGAAACAGCCAGGATGTTCAGACAAATTTTTATCTCCAGTTTCGGCTGGATTCTATCAGTGCCAACAAACCCTTTTAGTGTCTATCAGTTCTCCTAGTCCTTTTGTCCTCTGTCTTAGCTCTGACTCCCCTGTCTATTTAAATATACTGGGGGGAAATTGCTTTTTCTCTTCCACCTTCATTTCTCCATGGGAGAAAGCTGGCCCATCTCTTCCTGATTAACTGCCTCTAAAAACCCACTGGAGGGTCAGTTATGAGTGGTTCTGACTCGATGGTGCATAACAACGAAAACAACATGTAAAAAGTAAATAATCCATGTATATAGGGAGCTCTGGTGGCCTAGTGGTAAGAAGCTGCACTGCCATACCAAAGGCACACAGTTCAAATTCAAATCCACCAGCTGCTGTCTAAGAGAAAGATGAACCGTCTTCGCGCGTGTGATTTACTGCCTCTGAAAACCCACTGAAGGGTCAGCTATGAGTCTGTTCCGACTTACCAGCACATAACAGCAATGATATGTCATACTTAATGATGGTGCAGCGTTAGATAGAAGAGGTTTCTTGAAGTAAATGTTAATTAAAACTAAATGCTTTTGTGTAAAAAAAAAAAAAGTGACCTGAGTGATAAATCTTGAAATAAAAGGCCTTGGTATATGCTTTCCCCCCCACCCCCCAAAATAGTTAGATGGGATATACTGTGTACATAATATTATCAAAGAGTTGTCCCCTGCTCTTACCTTCCCCGTAAGCCCCCCAAAATAGTGTTAAGCTGATCTCAAAATAAATTCTATATTGTTACCCATTTGTATGATCTTACAAAGTAGGTAAGTCAAAAAGGTCATGTTTCCCTTCTGTGTCTGGAATGGTAAATATGTTGGAACTAAATATAGCCTTTTAGTCCATCCAGTTCTTCGCCTCCTTTTAGTAATAAGGAAAATATCTGGATTTTTATATTGTTGTTTTTAAAAAATACCTGTTTTGCAGATGAATTATTGTTATATCTTGTTCACAAAGCTCATTTTAGCTCCTGATACCTTTCATACATGTTATGTTTTTTTTAGATAACCCTTTCCAAGCCTTTTGCCTCTTAGCATGTGCTAAGTTTTTTCAGTGTTTTTTGGTTCTTGGATAATATAGTTAATTACCATGGAGGACTCCTGCTCTTCAGATGTCCTTCAGTCAGCTTTGTGAGATGCTAGAATCTTATTGATGCTCATTTAAAGGGTTATTAACTTTGGAATACCCAAATAAGAAGCAGCAAATGACTCTTGTCTGCTAAATTAGTATTGAGACTTGATGCTGGGCATCTATGACTACCAGGGAGCCATTTACTTAGAATCTCTTGCTATAATGATTTCTGTGTAAAAGTGGTTAACTCTTCATAGCCTTGGTATTAATTTCTGTAGAGTTTCTATTCTGGTGCAAAATGGAACTTAGGAAAATTGTTCATTTCCTTGAAACTATTTTAAGAAATAACTTGTAGTTAGAGTACAGTTACCAATGAAAGACTGACTTATGATAGTAAACCATTTTCTTCTGAGATAACTTTTAAAAAATATTGAATGCCTAGCAATTTTGTTTTCTTTTACATTTCTAACTTGTATCGCAAATAGCTAAGATCAGTGAATCCTCCTAAAACAGCAAAGACTAGAAAGTTTGTTATATTCCTTTACCACTTTTATTTTTAAATCTGCCTACATAAATTTTATTAAAATATATATGTAAGTGGAATAGATCAAAAGGAAGCAAGAAATAATTACTTTTTCAGAGGCCTACAGTGTTGGGGTCAATTAATACATGTTGAACCATGGTAGAAATCAGACTACAGTATAAATTAGGGTAAAATTGTGTCTAAAGAATGTATCTTGGGGTTGGGTTTGTGGTTTTGTTTTGTTTTGTTTTTTTTCCAAAGAAGAAAGTTTTTTAACTGTGACACATGCTCTTTTTTTTTTAAGCCTATGAATAGATTTGATGCCAGAAAAGAAACATTATAATTGAGGGAAGGTCATTGAAATTTTCCAGTCCCACTGAATTTGGAAATTATTTGATAACCTGACTTAAATTCTGATGAGCTTGTAATCCAAGATAATGATGCTATAGGCAGTTTATATCATCATTAATTTCAAGTCCTAGTGAGTCTCAAAAATAGCAATCATTGATGCATAAGATTTTGTTGGCACAATTTATTTGGATACAGACTTGATTAGAAAATCTCAAATAATGTAAACGTATAGGGTCAAGGGAAAATTATTAATGCAAATAGCTAAGGCAGCAATTTGTGTTTATATTTTAGACGTCTTTGCATTTTCAAATTTAAGTGTCCTTTAGAAAAAGGAAATAAAATCTGTGGCCTCAATTTGTAAGTGTGCCGAGAGGGCATGTAACTTCTGAGATGACTTAATCGGGCTGCTTGCTCTCAATCTCTCCCTGTGTTTAAACATTTTAGGTCATTTACAGCAAGTACACTGACCTGGTTCCCAAGGAAGTTATGAATGCAGATGACCCAGACCTGCAAAGACCTGATGAAGAAGCCATCAAAGAGGTAACTGGGAACTGAAATATATGTAATTGTTGTTTAGTTAACATTTTACATTGTTGGCTTCCATACCACCCACTCAATGTGATTTTTCTGATTTTAGATAACGGAAAAGACAAGAGTCGCCTTGGAAAAATCTGTATCGCAGAAGGTGGCTGCAGCTATGCCGGTTCGAGCAGCTGATAAACTGGCTCCTGCTCAGTACATCCGGTA